TACATACACACACACTATTTTGCTTATCAGTTTGGTTAGACATCCAATTGCTTCAAGCCTAGATTGAAACTCGACTGACTTGGCATCAGTCAGAAACTCTACTTGTAAGCTATCAGCACACTGCAGAAAAGAGAATCTTTTAAATGTATTATATACGTGATGGATATAAATGCTAGACCAGCAGCCAGAGTGCTCAGTTCTGATGAAGAGTTATATATATATAAATTATTTTCAGATAAAGTGTATCTGAAGCAACAAAATGAATAGAATAGACAAGAGGAAAAACTATTCTAAGTCAACACATTTCATCCTTGGAAGAACTTTATCAAGGCAATGTAGGATTTATTTTGTTGCACATGTTTATATACAAAATCAAGTATGCCATTGGTTTATCAAGGCTTATGGAGGACACAAAGTGTGATAATTCAAAGTCTAGCCAAAAATAAGCAAGTAATATTCAATAGTTTTTTGAGTTTTTTTTTTTAAATGAATATTGTTTAAATATTAAACTAACCACAACAATCTAATTCCAATTTAAACAGATGAACAGACTGAAAATAGGACAGGAACTGTGCTGGTTCATTAAAATCACTGGGACAAGGAATGTAATATTTAGGCTCAGAATGATACCAAAAAGAATAATACAAATGCAGAAGGATGTGTACCTGTGTTTTATAGATTATGCAAAGACATTTGATAAAGTACATCAACAAAGAATTATTGGAACTGCTAAGTAACCTTGAAATATTTGGGAAGGATATTAGAATAATCCAGAACTTATACTGGCAGCAAACCACTTGCATATGGATATAAAATGAGTTCAGTAGATATACAAAAATAGAAAGAGGTGTAAGACAAGGAAACAACTTCTCACTGGATTTATTCAACCTATACAGTGAGGCAATTCTGAGAGAAGTCGTACAAGGATTTAATATTGGTGGACACAATCTTAACATAAGATATGCAGATGATACAGTGTTGATAGCAAATGCAGAAAGAAAACTACAAGAACTCCTACAGAAATTAGCAAAGGAAAGTGAAAAGAAAGGACTAGACATCAACTGCAAGACAGACTGGATAAAAAATGAAAAGAAAAAATAGAAAATGGAAACAAAAAAGATACATCAAAAAGAGAGAGTTGAAATTTCTAGGGCATATAATGAGAAAAGAAGGCTTGGAAAATTTGATACTCACAGGATATAATGAAAGTAATAGGGACAGAGAAAAACAGTGTATAACCTACCTAACAAGTTTGTGTAAATGGATAATGGAACAAGGTTTAGTGGGGAGATACAAAAAGACAACTTTTACTAAAAGTGACAAAGCAAAGGGAATTATGGCACAGCACATAGAAGAATCTCAAAAGTAAACTAATTGCTTACTAAAGAATAAAAGGTAATTTTTGATTTTTATAAGATTACTTTAATTACATTTGAAGAGACAGCTTCTTGATTAAACAGCAATATTGCCACTTTTCTGATTGGTTAGAAAGTTGATTTATTTAATTCCTAATTGGTTAAGAAAAGATGAGTGATGAAATTCAAATTTTTCAAAAATGTGATTCTACTTGGACATAGAATTTATGACCAAAATGAAGATAATGTTGAATCTGTTACACACACAAACAAACAAATACAGGGTGCGATGGATAAATTGTCGTCTGAACTACACAAAAATTGAAAACAATACTGAATTCTCATTTTAACATGTATATTTACCAAAATTAAACAAAAATATCTTCAAATTCCAAAGAGTAAATTTATTCAATAAAATCACCATTGGCTTCAACCATGGCGTCCAGATGACTTCAGAATCCCCAACAATTCTTCTGGACAGTATCTTAGTTTAAATTGGTGAATGCAATGCCACCATAATCCTTGCCTTCAGTTCATCTTTGGTGTTACAAGGAGTTTTGCTGTTCTTTCACTCAACTGCACTCCACATATAATAATCAAAGGGGTTGGAGTCTGAAGCATTAGGTGACCAGATGTAAGGGGTGATGTGGTTGCAGAAATTGACAGCCATGACTGGGTTCTCCTGATCGTGTGGCATGGTGCAGTGTCCTGTTGCCAGACATAAGGTCTTCCAGCAGCCACCCTCTTAACCCAGGACTGCACTGCCTCCTCAAGGCACTTGATGTAGGCCTCTGTGTTGAGTCTGTGGCACTGTAGGAAGAGGAATGGAGGCATAATGTCGCCATCACTAGTGATCACTCCAAATACCATGATGTTGACTGGATATTTGATTTTCATCACTCTTGGTAGATCTTTTGGGGACACAGTATCCTTTGCACGGTCCTCTAACACTGAATTAGAGCTTCCTGTGTGAATGCCAAGCAGTACAGCATGCCATTTCAAAATTTCTGGCAGAGTGAATTGCATCATGGTGGTCTTTTTCCCCTACATGGTGCTCAACTGACCCTACTATATTGTGCAATCAACGAAATCAAAAACAATGTGCTTGCAAGAAATTAAAAATATATAATGGCGACAATTTACCCCTCGCACCCTATGTGTGTGTGTGTGTGTGTATATATATATATATATATATATATATATATACTAGCAGCATGGCCTGGCATTGCCCGTGCTTGAGCCAATTGGAGTAAAGTGCCATGCTGATTTAAATTTTTCCCACTTGTGACGAATGCAGCTATTGATTTTTTTTTTTGCATGCTAGCATGCTAGTTAACATTCATGTCAGTCAGCTGTTGGCTCTCACACTGGCCAATAGAATCTTCCTGCCTATTCGTGGCAGCCAGCTATTGGCTCTCACTCTGGCCAGTAGAAAATGGCCGCAAACTACATGAAAACCTCTGTAGAAGCATGAAAACAATCGATTATTTCCACTATTGATGGGAGTTGGGAAATGCAAAGTTGGTCTTGGCCTTCCCACTAACTTGGAGTATGTGCATGTAAATTTTGGTGCAAATCCGTCAAAAATTGCAGCCGTGCATTCATTACACACACACACACGTCCTGCCTTTTATAGATAGAGATACACACATACACAGATACATACATAAAATTGTGTATTTTGGGCAGCAATTCCTCTTTTATGCAAGTTTCATTAAAAACAATTGACATGGTGCAATGGTTAAAATTTTAAATAATTTTTCACATGTTCTTATAATTTTTTTCTTTTCAAAACATAAATTATATAAAAATTGTTCAAATGTTTTATATATCCAAGTGCATATGGCTATACTTTTAGCCATTATCAAGGATGAATTTCATTTTACTTTTAAGAGAATATATCGATTGTTTTATATATCTAGAGTTATAGAAATGATTTATTATCCCTGTTGTGGCCATGTTCATAGTTGATAATATTGAGTGTTGACCTTTTTCTTTTGTAAAAATAATGCTTCCATTATTTTTAGCCTTTTTTTACATGTAGATTATGCTATTATATTTGCATTATCAATGAGTATGTTACGGATAGAGTTTGGTAGGTCTCTATGTGCATTTAAATGAGGCTTAATTGAGCTATGGCCAGAGAGATGCGAGTGTTGTTGTTAAGTATGTTGTAGTATATTCAATATAATTACTTATGAATTTGGATTTGTCAGGAACGTACTTCCTTTAGGGACATGTAAATTTATAATATTGGTTCTCTGGTATAAAGGACTTTGAGAGTAGATAAATTTGTCATTTGGATATGTAATGTGCTCTAAGGAAAAGAGATTGTTGGAATTGAGAGGATATTTAATGATAAGATCTCTGATAAGGTAAGCTTATCTAAGGTTAGTCTTATCAACCATAGCTGGCACCACACAAGCCACAACACTGTACAATTACAATGTTCAGTGAGGCTTGATATGCAATATGTGTGCCGAGGCTTGTAAGTTATTAAGTGGACTCACTCACCATTTCAATGGGACACACCCAAATGAACACACTCACATGCAGCATATGTGAGATGAAATGCAAATCTCTTGCAGGACTCTAAACTTACTTAAGGAAACATCAATGAATGGCTGAGAAAAACTAATTCACTGTAAAAATTGGTGGTACTTGGTCAGGAATTGACATTACACCATATATATATATATATATATATATATATATTAATTAATGAATATCAAACACTTAAAATATCATAGGTAATAATCTTTATTTCATAAAAGCTATAAAAAATAGCCTTCAATCTTTCAGAACTGTAAACCAAATACAAATGGAAAAAATTACTCCAGGTTAAATTCGAGAGATACAAATATCATATTCATTAAGAGGGAGAAAGAGAAGGAAGGATTCAAATTTATGTAATGGTGGCCAATGGGGAGGGAAAAGGAAGAAGACCTCAGGATTTATTCTCAGTAGACTTTAAGGTTTGAGGTAACCAGATTTAATATGACATACACTACAATGCTGCATTTTGATTTACAGGTTGAATGAAAATATTGTTAAGTCATTGGGAGTTATGTACTATACCATTTAGCTACAGAGGAAGCAACTGGTTAGCAAGATTAGATTACTGTTTTTGAACTACAAACTTCAAATATATATATATATATATATATATATATATAAAAGGACACTGATATAAGTCAAAATAATGACAACACTCTGTTTTATGCTTGAATACAATCTTCCAGCCATATTGCATACGGCTTGAAGATGACATTTAAGCATGAAACAGACTGTCACTGTTCAGTGCTGACCTCCGTGTTCATTCTTATATTTTTTATTTACATATGTTATATCCCTGATATTGAGTACTTTAATCCATAAATATAGCATAGCTTTAAACTAGAGAGAGAGAGAGATGAATGGGAAGCAAAAATGATACTGACAGACTGAGATAGATATGGATGGCTAGCAAGATAGATATGAACAGAATGAGAGAGATATGAGGTCGAACAGGTAAGTAAGTGGATAAATTCAATTAGTCAATTGATGTGAAACACATACTTTGCAATGAGATTTTTCATCAAATATTACATTCAACCCCAGCAAACATCCAAAAAGTTTTGTTTGTATAGCCATGCATCTACCTACCGAACTGTGGGTTCCAAGTGCCAAGTCTTGCATTCAAACTGGCGCCAATCTTGTTTGAGAGCTGCTGTAGGGTCGGTAAGCTTTTTCCTCTCCACCTCTGGGGACTTGATGCCACTGCTGCTTTTTGTACTCGAGGCAAAGCGTGTTGTATCTATGCAAAAGTAAAGAAAAAAGAAAAGTTCTCTAAAAATTGGTACCTGATTATTTGCATCCTATGCAAATCAAAAAAAAAAAAGCCTGATTTTAAGAACACTAGCCACCAAACATCCATCTTACAAATATTTTTCATTTTATTATGATATTCAACAAAGATTTGTTTATAATTTTCAAATCACTGACTTTCAAGCACAAGAATTTTGCCAATATCATTTGACCAGGTCAAAACAAGCTTTTAACTAATATTTATTATGACTTTTAAAAAAACGTTCTTGACTCAAATTATGTTCATAAAAAAATATATTTAACAGACTAGCCAAATAACCATCCTAGAAAAAATTGTCATAAAAGTTTGCTCACCTCTCTAAAATTTCTGCATAAACAACATTTTCAGCAAGATATCTATTGTCTAAAGTTTTTTGTTATTATGCCAAGTCCATTTGAATTTCCTACTTGGGACATAACTACATAGAACTGACAATGAGAGAAACATTTGAATAATTTTCTAGTGGTTATATAAATAATCCAACAAACTTACCATTTTTTCACATGTTTAAGAAACCTTGCTTATTTTATAGTGAAGCACCAATTCGAAAGGAACAACCAATAATCGACATTATAAGGACAAAATATCACAATAATCAAAAGATATTCTAAATGAGTCAATCAATTATTTGCGAGGAAACTTATTGATTGGCCAAAAGTTTTAGTTTATAATTTTAAAAGACTAACTATATATTCATCCTATGAAAAGAGAAAAGTTTTTACAAAAGTTCTCTATATCTCTAAAGATTTCTGTATAAACAACATTTTCAGCAAAATATCTATTTTCTAAAGTTCTTTTAGTCATCATATGAAGTTCAAGTGAATTTCATACATCTGAATAATTTTCTAATGTTTGTATTAATAATAATTAGTTATAATATTAATTGTAGTAATGTGAAATAGTTGCTATGAACACTGCAGGAAATAAGATCATAACATTGCCTGCCTAAAATTATAGAAATCTAAAAATATTTTATATTTTTTTAAATTATTTATGCCTACTTAAAAATTATTTTTAAATGCCAAAATTATATTTTATATTTTCCTTAAATATAAATAATGATACTGTTTGTCACTTACAACTGAATTTTGACAAGGCAGACATAAATTATTTCTATAAAAATACTAATAAAAAAAATTAACAGAAATACTACTGATCTATGGCAATTTTCAAAAATTAAATTAAAAATAAATAACATCGATGAAATATTTAATAAAATATGTGTTTTAAAATGTAGTTATTTATATTGTAAATGCTTTAATTGATTCATTCATTTTTTACAGCTTATCAATCCTTTACTGGCTATTTAAAGCCAGAAAATATTTTTAGATTGTATGAAGTTTTTCTTGGGTTAATAATAGTTTAGTGATACAAGTCTTACTAATTAAACCATAGTTGGGAGGGAGAAGAGGTGGATTCATATCTTTTCCTAAGGTAATTGCATGTAAGTGAATATAATAAACCCAACTGGAATTGAATCTCAGTTCTTCAATTATCAATTCTCAGACGTTATCCATTAAACCACACGCACATCCAAGCTTACAGCACCTGGTGTTCCCAAGCAGTCACTCATGCGGTTATTGACCAGGCTTGACATTGCTTAATTTTGATGATCGTATGGAAGCAGTGTTTCAGTGTGATGTAGCTGTAAGCCGTGTTGTAAATGAGATTTGTTAGTAAATGGGTTGTTTTGTTCACTGATGTAAGGTGGGGAGACACAGAAAAAATTTAGCCTTATAAAAGTTTATAAGAAATGATAGCATTCTTTCAAAGCCTTTAATCTGATATAATTAGAAAATGAATGAGGCAATTATTCAAAAAGAGATTATGGAGAGCAGCAAAAGGGATAAAGCTGTGGAGAACCATGATCATCTACGTACATTATGAATGAACATTGTAATTAAAAACAAATGAGATTGTGGAGAACAGCAAAAGATAGAAAGCTGTGGATAACCATAGTCACCTACACCTTTAAGAAACATAAATGAAAATAGATTTTTGAGAGCAACAAAAGAGAGAAAGGTGAGGAGAACCATGATCACCTACATTCTGAACGAACATGACTATTGAAAACAAAAAGGAGATTGTAAAGAGCAATAAAAGAGAGAAGGTTGTGGAGAACCATAATTACCTACATTCTGATAAATATAACAATTGGAAAAAAAAAAGGAGATTTTTGAAAGCAACAGAAGCAAGGAAGGTGATTATGGTTCTCCACAACTAAGACCTGAAGGAACATAACTATTGAAAAAAACAAGATTTTTGAGAGCAATAAAAGAGAAAAAGCCATAGAGAACCTTGATTACCTAAATCCTGAAGGGACATAACAATTGAAAAAAAAAAAAAAAAAAAAAAAAAGGACATTTCTGAGAGCAACAAAAGAAAGAAAGCTGTGGAGAGCAACAAAAGAAAGAAAGCTGTGGAGAGCAACAATCATCTACATTCTGAAGAAACATAACTGAGAAAAGGAGATTTTTGAGTGCAACAAAAGAGAGAAAGCTGTGGAGAACCTTGAACACCTATGTTCTGAAGGAATATGACAAGTGAAAAAAAAAGTAGATTGTAGAGAGCTACAAAAGAGAAGCTGTGGAGAGCCATGAGCACCCACATTCTGAAGTGGGGACAAGAAGGAGAGATTATTGCTGCATACTTTGATAAACAAACAGAAAAGCTAATAAAGATTGCTTGAAGTTCATTCTTGCACTGAAAGCAGAACACACTGGTGTCAAAAAGAAAGTTTTCATTTGAATTTTCTTCCATAAATCAATAAGCAAAACATTCTGTACAAAGGGAGAAACTGAAACTGAAACAGAAAATGAAAAAAAAATAAATGACAAAGTAAATCCAACTCACATTTATCTTTCTCTTTGATGTATGATGAAACCAAATCGTGTAAAAACCAAATAACTTCTGCATCCATCGCCACAGAAATGTGATCTTCAAACTCTGTTATAAAACTGCATTCAACAATTGGTTTGGAATCTGAAACAGAACAAAGATACATTTGATTTATTTTCCTCTTTTATGTTTGTCCAGCAAAGGATTGAGTTATGGTTAATTAACGATTGTTATTCGTCAATATAAAACATTTTCTCTCTATAAAATATTCACATGACAAACAGGTTAGGTGATAAAGCATTAAATTCCTAAACAAAAGGAAACATGCCCACAGGAGAATCAGATAGATGCACTACTTTCCAACATCCACAAAATATTTGCTCCTTTCATTATTTAGGACTCTGATCTTTTTTTTTTATATACTAATGTTCACAAAGACAAGCAAATACTTTTGAACTCTGACTGGAAAGAGTGTATTGGGCAGCTCCAGCCAAGATATAGCAATAATACTCTATTTTTGATTTGATCTCGCTCTTGTAAACATCAAGACTATCTATCAGGAGGAGTCAGTTACTTTCTGGATTGATACAAGGAACTGACCATTTTTCCAGCATCTTTAGCAATGGATTGTATATATGAATTTCATTTGAGTTCTGGAATGAACTTTGTTGTTTAAGAACTGTGAACTATTTCCCTGTTCTCAGTTTTTCACAAAAAAAGTGTGGCTGGTTTTAAATTTTCACCAATCTAATCAAATCATCCATATAGACAGTCTAGAATTGTGGTTCCCAGTGTGGCAGAAGAGGATAGCAGGGAGGCAGAATGATTGAAAGACAATCAAAGATTTAGAAACAGTTTTAAAAAAAATTCATATGCCAAAAATAAATACAATTTCAAAATTTAAAATATTTTTATAGATTACTTATAATTGCATGCATGAATCCCAGTATAGTCATAAATAATTATTGAATGATTTTATCCTTGTGATATTTTCATATTATATCAAGTATTAAGAATATAGTAACTAGGGTCTATAAATTTGAGGAGAGAGTTATCAATGATAATGTTCTAACTTCAAATCTGTGGTTATCTCCTTTTAATTCTCTCTCCGTTTTTTTTATTTTTAAATGTAAATCATATAAAATTTGGTAAGGTGCACGCAAATTTTCATTCTGAAAATGCTTCCTAGAGAAAAAAAAATTTAGGAACTAATTTGGATTTATTTTTATCCAATATTTATATTACTTCAAACATTGTTACAGTGGACACTTTGCATTTGGAATCAAAACCAAAATTTTATTTATTAAACAGTGTATATTACATCTAGCGGCCTGCACATTCAAGAAATCCTAGTAAAGAAAATGAGTTCTCTGGAAGAGATCAAACTTGAGCCCCACTTTGTAGGGGAAAGCACCATTTGTCTGATCTAGCATGCTTTACAACTCAATAAGTAATTCATTGAGTCTAGAAGAAACCTCATAATTAAGTAATTCATTGAGTCTAATTTGCCACTTCTTGTCACTGTGGCTCGTTGGTATGACATTTGTCTTATATCGTAATGGTCCAGGTTTTAATTCTCAGTAGTGGATGCACACTGCTGATGAGTCCCAAATATAGGACGAAACAGCTGTCCAGTGCTTTCTGCATTCTGTTGAGGTTTCTTCTAGACCCAATGAATTACTTAATTATGATTATCTCAAATCCTCCTAATAATTTCTATCACTTGTATACCTTTGCTTGAACCAGCTTCTAATGCTCTGGATGGACCAGCTTGGTGGTAGTAGTTGTGGCTCGCAGGGGCACAGTCCTATGGGTAAGGGAAACTCGGATGAGTTCCACCATGGAATATGTGATTGAGCAGTGCTATACCGAGTCTAATTCATTACCTCTTTGTCACCAAGGCCCGTTGGTCAGTCGTTCAAGTCTGAACCGACTGTTCGGTTAAACTCTCTTCCTACGGATGGGAGGAACCCGAAGGAGGCTACGTCAAAGGGCGGAGTCTCCTTCGGGGAGGTAAAACCGACCCTGAACCCGTATATATGGGTTCAATGGGCATATTTTTGGCCAAGCCCACAGGCTCGAAATGCCCACGTTAAAAAGGCCTTGTGCCACATGACACCCTCGTGGGGGGGGGGTGACTGAATATCGTCACCAAGGCCCGTTGGTATGGCATTTGTCTCATATCATAATGGTCCGGGTTTCAATTCTCGGTAGTGGATGCGCACTGCTGATGAGTCCAAAACAAAAGATGAAACGACTGTCCAGTGCTTTCTGCATTCTGTTGAGGTTTCTTCTAGACTTGATGAATTACTTAATTATGATTATCTCAAATCCTCCTAATAATTTCTATCATTGATATATATATATATATATATATATATATATATATATATATAAAAACACATACAAGCTAAAAGAGTAACCTTTCAGCTGTCAATGTGCTTCATACTAACTTCAAGTAACTTGTCCTGGATAGACATAACTGGAGATATTTGTAGTAGAGTGGAATCAGAAATTTTCAAATCAGTTGTATTGACCAGCTAAGAGACAAAAGACAACAGTGAAAAGCATCAGCAAATATTCCTGTTGCCATGTCACAATGGCCTCACTGTTGCACAATATGTGAACTTGTATGCAGATCCCTATTAAGACTAAAGTGTCACATACAACACAAACATAAAAATTGAATGTATGTATATAAAAGTTATTACAAGTGTAGAAGCAATGTTTTAAAATGAATTTCACTAACATTTAACATAATGTTGCATTTTTAACATCTCCAATTAGCTCACTTACATTGTGGATGCTTGTTTACAAAAAAACATTGTAGCTACAATATGTTAATTTTAAATTAATTATAATAGACTGCATTCACGTGTTTACAAAATCACCATCACAACAATCACAGTTACATTAAGTTTGTCTTTGCACTTCACCCATGAGGAGGATCTCAGAGATCAAAAGTACTTGGGTTAACAAGAACTATGGCACCTCCCTTGATGAATTTCAACTTAACATCAATTGCCTATATATATATATATATATATATATATATATATATATATATATATATGTGTGTGTGTATTATTAAATATAGAAGACAAAGAATGTCTATTATATCTGATCATGAGCTGTTCTAATGTTTGCTTTATTTTTGGGTGAAAATAAAGACACAAATTGTCCAACATTTGGATATTTTTTTTTTTAAGTTGGTCCTAAGCTTTCAGCTCACATGAGCCATCCTCAGGGTGGTTATACAGACATGAAACAAAGATATCCACTGTTAAAGATGATATTTTGTTATTTTGATGTAGAAAATTGCTATGTGACAATAACGGTTGCAGAATAGCAGACACAGATCGTAACTTCAAGATGCGCTTCTATGACATCATACCACACGATAAACCAAAGTATTACAACAGAAACAATGTCTAGATGCAATGTAATGTGCTGTGACTAGTTTGAAATGTAATTTTGTTAAGTGCAGGTTGTTCATTTTAATCTAGATGCCCTCCAATATCTGTATCCAGTATTATTGCGTTATCAACTAATATCTGTCTAATATTATATACATGGCTATGTTTTTCTAAGAATATATATATATATATATATATATATATAATAAAAAGACTTAAACACTAATATTCCATGTATGTGTATATTTACCACTAATATTATCAATCTCTCTCTCTCTCTCTATATATATATATATATATATATATATATATATATATAACTGCATAAACTTTGAACAGAATTATTTAGAAATACATAAAGAAATGTCACATTGTATTTTATAATTGAATTTGAATCCATGACAAAATAGTCCGCATCCAGGAGCAAAGCCTGTTTATTCTGAAAACTTGACTCAAAGGCCTTGTTTCAGATAAATAAACATTTCACTTGATACTTTCTCCACTGTTGATTGGATTAATAAATTAAATAATGATTTGATTACAGTATTCAATTAAATCTTTTTGGTGCACAAGAAAAATGCTTTTATTTAATCATGTCTTCATTTTCTTCATGAGAAGACATATATTTAGTTAAATCTGGAGAACTGCAATAAGCCTTCAAAGACAACATTACTAATGTCAACTCTTGAGTGAAGGCAAATATCAAATTTCTCCATAATACATTTTTGTCCTAATTTTATATCAAACATAACATGCCTATCATTTTCTATGACTTTATTCAGAAAGGCCTCCGCCATGTGATTGCTGTTAACTGCTCAAAGAACATTGTAAATTTATTCAAAGTTTACTATTTTCTTTTCTCAAAAAATCTTTAAAAAAAATTATTGGTAGGCAATAGAACAAAAATTTACAAAAAGAAATACAATGATACATTTAGAAATTATGTTTTAACACTGAGATATCCATATTAACAAAGGATTCTTAGTTTTAGTACACATATCAAAATGACTGAATTTATTCTTAATATGATTTTTTTTTTCATAGAAAACTGATCTTATATCCAATGTATTTTTATGCATTGATATGCACCGTGCCAGTGAATTATGAACAGTAAATGTAAAACCTTCATTTTAGAAAATACTTAGAACTGGAACCAACTGCTAAGCCTGACTGTTGACCTGTCTTATGTAAGAGTTTGTCAATATGGAATCTGATCAAGAAAAATTACTACACAGAATATGTAAAGCCTTGTGATGATAAAGGAAAACCTTAGAAGATGAAGCCAATCAAGAAGCACCAGAAGGTATGATCTAATCACAACCCAGAGAATTTAGATCCCAAAAGATATCTTCAGCAAACACAGCCTCCAGGAATCCTTCTTTGCAGTCAAAGGTGGGAATACGAGCCTACTCAGCAGGTTTTCTTTCTAATCCCTGTTTACAAACAGAGGCAAATCAGTGGTGCCAAAAGAGCATTTAATTCGCTGCCTGTGGCTCATTTCAGCCATTAGTATAAATAAACAATAAATGACAAGAGAGATACAGTTACCCTCAAAAGAGAAATAATACAAGTACAGATAAGTACAGAAGAAAGTGATCAAGAATAAGACAAGTGGAGGATGTTTAGCTACAAAAACATTGAGAAATCCTTGCAGGTGCTTAAATAAATAGAATGGTTTAGAGATGTCTTGTGTAGTAATGAGTCATTAAAACCATTAACAGAACACAGAAAATAACTTATCTAAAATGTACATTGTAATAGTAAACTACAATGCATTCGACATGAAACACATTTGTGGCAAATGTAGATCTTACATGCCATCAATCAAATGAATGAGCTAAATCCTCAACACAATCTCTGGAATTGTGACCTTTGCCAAAATGGGGTAATGTCAACTACCTTCAGATATTATGGTTGGCGACTCATTTTTCAAGCACACCCATCTGTAAGAGCAGCTAGCCAACCCCTGTTGCTCAGGCACATTTGTGTTTTTTCAACACATTGAGGTGATTTATACTGTAACTATGCTGAACAGACCTTAATTACAGTTTCTGGCATTACCTGCAGTTTGAACAATGCCAGTACAATCAAACCCTCAGTCATGATGACTTGTTACTTTGTGTTAACACAACGACCAATGGCTTTCAAATAGATCTGTCTACTCAATTTCATACACAATGTTTAGGGCAACCCATGGTATGCTTTTCAGACACTTTGCGAAAATGTTGCATGCTGAGATCACCTCCCCCAGACAGATAATGTCAAGAAGTCACCTTCCTGATAAATTGACAGGAGTGAGGTTTGAACCAGTGTCTCATAGTCAGAAAGCAAATTTTTCTAACAATTCAACCACAGACCTATACATCTTCATATATACATGGCTAAAAAACATGACTTGGAGCATCTTGGACACATTTATAGGAGGTTCAGTGTTTAACATGCAAATCTCTGAAGTCACTAACAATGATGGCATTGTCCAACAAGCCAACATACATTTAGCCCAATGCATGTAATTGTATCCAATGTAAAGTCTTTGCCTTGAAAGAAATAAAACAATGACACATTAACTTGTTGGTTCAATGCATTTGTATTAAAAGGCACAGCAAAAGATCAACATTCCTCTCTGTTTCACTAATGTTAGCAAATAGTGTAGTGGTTCCTAAACTTAATCAGGCAACAATCACCTTCGTCTCCCAGGTCCTGTTGTTAACAAGTGCACACATACACAGATATGCACGCACAATTAACTGACACATCTTTCTTAGTATTGGTAATGTTGACAGTAGCCATTTCCATACAGGAAACATTTGACATTCATTGGCTAAACAGCTGAAATTTATAAAAAAATTTTTACTAAGAAGAGTTTTGCATTAAAGTGCACTTCTCACATCCACCCACTGATATATTTCTTTGAAGTATTCATGAGAATTTCCTTCCAAGTTTTTTTGTACAGTGTAACCCGGATATAAGAGAGTTGTCGGGACCGGAGGAGAAGTCTCTTATATCCGGGTTTCTCTTATATCCGGGTTACACTGTACATGGCAGTGTCAAAAGTTAACAGCTCTATTATATTATCATTGTCTCTCCTACTTAAATGTGTTACCCATTGTGGTCACTGCTATCGTTATTGGCAGTATTCCAGTGATGCGGCTTTAGTGATATTTTAGCACTAGTTTATAGGACCTGATAAAGGATCATCATCTGTAAGATTTATTTGAAGCCATTTTTAATCTGAGAAAACGATTATATACAGATGATCATTTAGACATTTTGTTTTAAGAGTCTATCAAGCTCTAGATAAGAATGGTGAAGATCAAGCTGTTGCTTTGCATATCTTGAAAGCATTCAACAGGGTTCTTACTAATGCAGGTATCCCCCTGGGCTCTATCCTTGGTCCTACTTTGTTCTTAATTCTCATCAATGATCTTTCCAATGGCATCAGCCCTCAACTTAATATCTATACTGATGACACAACCATTTACACCTGTCTCAATAGTAGCTCTGATCAGTTTGATATAGTCAAATTGGCAGTTGATCCCAAAAAAGACCTACATGCTAGACAATTTTTCTCTCTTGAATCTATCTTATATATTTATAAGTCTACCATTTACTCGTGCCTTGAATATTGCTGCTACACATGGACCAGTGTTCCTGCTGTATATTTAGAGATTCTTAATAAAATCCAAAGAATCAGCAATATTATTGGTCCTAACCTGGCATCTTGCGTTCAGTCATTTTCCCATTTCCATAGAGTTGCTTTCCTCTGCATTTTCTATAAATTCTTTCATGGTAATTGTTCAGGTGAGCTCTTTACTATGGTGTCTAGATTTTTTGAATTTAAGTGCAGTACTAGATTGGCAACAAAGTCCCATCTGTTTACAGTTGAATTGGTTAGATGTAATCGCAAGTTCTATGCTAACTGTTTCTTTTCTTGCGTTTCTTGCTTGTGGAACTCTCTCTGGCTTATTGTTTTCCAGTCAACTTTGATCTTACAAAATTTAAATGCAATGTCAATCATTAACTGAAGTCTTACTGATTACTCTTCTATTGTTCTCACTCCTCAATAATGCTTCTGTTTTCGAATTCTCTCACATGTATTAACTCCTTGTGTCTTAGTGGTTCTACTGCCTTTCATGGGGTGAATTTAATAAAAAAAAAAAAAAAAGAAAAGTTGGATGCAAATTATTTAGATTTTGGCATTAAATAACTGACAAATATGCTGTTAAACAAAATCAACCAATTATAATTTACCAGATTTCCTCCCTAATGCATAAAAACATAATATAAAGATAGTTTACATTTATTTCTATAACTAAAATCCTTATTTTTTTTTTTTTATATTTACTTCAGACAGAGCTGAAATTATAATGCTGGTTGCAAGCATTGATCTTGCAAAATTTGTGCTGCCTGGCATACGAAGCTAAACTAGACTCTTTTTCCTCCTAAAATATTACAGGATGGTTTTGCTTCAACATCAAAAGTTATTTTATAGCAAGTTAACTCAGAACATTCTGTAAAAGAATATTTAAAATAGGGTAATTTATTTAAAGGGGCTAATTACTTGGGATAATACATTCAAGTTTAACTGGTTAAAATCAACCAGCAATGGATAGAAAGACCATGAACACATTTTTACTGGCTTTCAATACTTCTGAAAGACAACATACTTTTAAAATGCCTTATAAATTAGCCATATTTTTGGTGTCATTTCCATTAGTTTATTAATGTTGGATCTGTACCAATTAGCCAGTGTGCTATTATAAAAAATTACTTCTGATATCAACAAGTAAATCCCTAGGCTTTAGGGAAACAGAAGAGTGTATATTCGAATGTAATACACTTTCATGAAATCATAAGAGGTGTAGATTCACTGATCTTGGTTATGAGCCAAAAATATCATAATCTATCAGAATGTCAACAGGTTTTTAATATGATTAAAACAATAGATTCAAACAATACAGATTTCAATCCAATCAGTGAGAAGATCATTCTATTACTAAGTAATAAACTTCTATAACATTACAGATTCTTCTTTGGATTTTATCAAGAATCTCTAAAAAATATATAGCAGAAGCATCAGGCCAGCTGTGACAGCAATATTCAATGCATAGACAAATTTATATGTCTAAGATAGATTCTGGTGAGAAAACTTGTCTAGGAATTATTTCTATTTACAATTTTTTTTTTTTAATCATTACACCCCAAGCAAGGCAGGAATGCCACTAGTTCACAGGGAGTGAAAGTGGGATAAAAAAAAACTAAGTATAAGGAGGATTAAAGAAAGGACAAAAAAAATAATTTCCCAATTTTGAAGACGTCATAACATAATTCCTCTTTCTTTCTGTGCGCCATACTGTTAAATGTTAAATCTCCATTGAGGAAAAATTGCATTTTTTACAAGATAAAATGACTGTCTTCACCTTCCATGGTTGGCTCATGTTCTCCTTGGAAATGTTTCGTCTTGAAGTGCATCTGCATGGGTGGAAAAGCAAAGATAATTTCACGGTCATGATTGTAGTCTTGGGTCTTGCGAGACTTTTTCTGCTCAGTTGGGCTTTCAGCTTTTTCACGTTGGATTGCCGGAAATGAATCAAGAT